AAAAAAAAAAAAAAATTCTTGTTAAGTAGTCAGCAAACTTGAGAATAGAAGGATTACTAGGAAGGTTTGTTAAAACACAGATTGTGGGCTACCTCCCAGAGTTTCTAATTTAGTAGGTCTGGCCTCATACTTTGCATTTTAGCATACTTTAGGAGCCACTATTTTATCATATGTTGGGATTATATTTAACTTTAGAAAGTCATAATCTAAAAGTTTCCTGGATAAAAAGAGTCTTTTGCTTGGGCTTTTGTTGAATCCAAAGTTTTAAAATATCTTTATATATTCATTGTCATTTTGAAGGTGCCAAAAAGGAAGGAGCTGCTGGATTCTTCAAAGGCATTGGGAAAGGGCTGGTGGGTGCTGTGGCTCGTCCAACTGGTGGAATCATCGATATGGCCAGCAGTACCTTCCAAGGGATTCAGAGGTAACTAAGAACATAGTATTGTCTGTGTGCTAACTGCTGCTATGAATACATAAATAGGTTAAATATTTTATCTACTGTTAACGTTTTTATGACCTTCTACCAGGAAGGAATAAAAAGATACATTTTATGGCTCAACTTTTAGTCAAAATTTGCCTTATGCTGGACACCAAGAGTACAAAGAGTATGTGACCTAGTGCTTGCTTTTATTATTTTGACATTTTCTTTAATAAAATAATAAAATAAAAAGGTAAAGAAGCTTGAATAGAGTTGGTTTTAATACTTGTCACATTATTTTTGGCAAATTACTTACATTTGCTGATTTTTTTTAATCAATATCAGTATAATATGGATGAATGTTTAACAAACATATATGTATTTATTATTTTGAAAGCTTCTCACATATTTTCTTATACTTACTCTTCTGCTTTATACAGGGCAGCAGAATCAACTGAGGAAGTATCCAGTCTACGCCCCCCTCGCATGATCCATGAAGATGGCATCATTCGCCCATATGACAGACAAGAATCTGAAGGTTCTGATTTATTTGAGGTATGAATTCTATTCTTTATAGTCATGAATGAAATTTGATTTGAAAGATTTCTAGGACCAGGATTTCATGGGTGGTTCTTTAAGTTCCTGCTCTATAAACTAGGATTATACAAGGAACGTGGTTTATAGAGTGTGATTATTTATGTAACATGTTAAATGAGAATAACAGGTAATTTTTTTTTTCTGCACAGGAACAAAAAGCCTTTTGTGTGTGTGTGCAGAAAGGATAATGTTAAAGAAGTCACAGACTTGATCACTGTGTGGTAGCTCATTTTATTAACAGTGTTAACTTTGATTTCCTGCTTTATGACTAGTTATTGGAACTTTACTGCTTCCTTTTGTCTCCAAACAAATTAATGTATTTAGACTACTCTGTAAATCTAGCTTTATCCAGGTAAAAAGAAGCTGGAGGATAAAAAGACAGATTTTGTACAATTGTAATCTTTTATATATTAAAAAAATAATAAGGTTTTGGATTTTTTTAGATTTAACTTTACAGTACTTAAATAATGTATACTGATATAAATTACGGCCCTCCCCTCTCTTACTTCCCACCAAGTAAATTTGTTGCTATTTTTATACTTTGACAAAATGAAATGATTCTTCATTGTTCTTAGTCTTTGGATTTTATTATATGTGGTTAACTTTTATCTTTCTTCATTCTTCTAACTTTATTTTCTTTCTTTTTCTGCCTACACAGCAAGAACTGGAAATACAGGAGTAAATGTTTCCTTTACTACTACTTGATTTCATCTTTTAAAATCAAAACAAACTGTGGTATTAATCGACTGTCTGATTTATTCAGATTGAGAGTGCATTTTAATCAAATTTTCTTTGCAACTTTCACCTCTATCTGAATTTTTATCATAGTTATTTTACTGCAAAGAAAAATGGGATATTCCTGATAATCCTGTACAGGAATAAGACAATATAAAATATCAAACAATGCAGGAAATAACTTTCTTTTGCATTTAATGAGTAACTTACTGAGCTAAGAAGCAGACAAAATTACTATCATTTTGAAATTTTCATATTTTATGGTATTCATGTGCATTTCAAGTGAAGTTGAAAAAAAATAGGACAGTTATTACACCTGTTGTGTGTTACTTCTGCTTGTGAATCCTGATGATGGAATTATGTAATTTAAGCTTCACAGGTCACCCTAAATTTACTCATGTTATGGGACTGTTCAATGGGGCATATGTTTTAGTAATTGAAGTATCAGTTGCTCTGGGTCTGTCCTTAAATCTGAAGTAAAAAGTGGCACGTGAATTTTGAAAATGTTCCCACAATCTCTTTCTTCTTTTTTAATCTTTCAGTGTCCTTGCTAGGTAAATGGCAATCATTTTATATTAGGTTCCATATATTCTCAGCCTTTAGCATTTATGCTTTTCAAAAATGGGATCTCCCTGTTACTTATGTGTATTTTACAAGTATTAGTTTTAGTTAATTTAATTGAAATTGAAGTTGTAATTACATGAATTACTTTTTGACACTTGAAATTTTTTTTGACACTTGAAATTTATAGATATATTTATTTTTAAAAGCTACTCCTTTTTGCTTTTTCATGGTATTCACTATCTTAATAAGAACAAAAATAACTATAAACTACCATTTTGAATTTAGTACCTCCATGATTAATTTTCAAAGTAATTTGTCTTGATTTCTTTTTTATAAGTGACACTAATATTTAATTTGGCTTATCAGTGTCTCATCTAGAATCCTCATTCTTTCCCTCATTTTGAAACCAATTATAAACTTAGATTTAATGTGTTATACATTCTAAAAGGATTAAATTGTTAACATATGATCATTTAGTTGAACTATGTATGTTTTATAACTGTAGGTATCAAAAGAGTACATTGAATCAAGCTTTATAAAGAAGAGTGACATCCAATGACCAGTCTAAAACTGTAGCTGACAAACTTTTCTTGTGCCTAGATAATTGAGGGTTGGCAAAAATGTCACTGCATGTACAGTTTCCTATGAGAATCAAGCACAATAACTAATTCAAGATGCTGTCTTAAGTCATCACTAGTAATTGCCCTTCCTTCTTAGGTAAAAGTAATGGCTTTTAATTTTCCTGGATAGATCATGATTTTTAATGATGTTTAACTTTTGGGAAATCACATATCTTATTAAAATATTTTTATTTACTATTTAATTTATGTTATTAAGCTTTCCTTGTGATTTGCCTTTTAACAACTGCATGTCAGTTAGCACAAAATTTATATAAATTTTAAAATTATTTTAGCTAAGTTTAGTGATCTTATCTGACTTACTAGTTTTGCTGACAAACTTTAGCATATTATTGTGATTACTGCAGATAGGTTATACATTAATGTGAAGACTTGGTGGTTTTCATTCCTTGAGTAGCAAGGATAGGCATGGATAGTTAAGAAATCTAGGCTATTTGATCCCTTGCCTATTTTATTGTAATCAGTTGTGTATAAAGTATTTGTTGATTATGTAGATAAACAAATGACTTTGGTCCTTAAGGGCCCAAGAATAACAAAAGATGTATATATTAAAGAACACTGGAATATAAGGATGTATTCTCCTAGTCTTTATTGTAATATGGGCACATTCTAATTAATTTTTTTGGGAATCTTTGACTTATTCTATTAACTTTTCCTCCTGAGTATCTCTCTGGATCTTTAACGTTTTGTTACTAAATCATATGCTATGTTTTCATAGGTTATGCTTTTCTGCTTATCTTCTATCAGGTTAATTACTATTTATACATACATTTTTACATATAGACATGCATGATATATATTGTCAATTTTTCTTTAAAATTCAGCATGGTTCACCTACTTTTGATCATGTATTATTAAAAAATGGTGGGTCCTTTTCCTTTTTAGTTACATTTTCCATGTATATAGAAATGCTTCATTTTTAATTCTCACATTACCATTTATTGAGGTAGCCTTACACTGTATATTTGATCACACCCCAGTTCTTGATTATGAAGGTTGTTTTTCTTATTTTACTAACAGTAATAATGCTGTAATAGACTTCATTATTCATATAGCTTTTTCATATCCTGTACTTTCCTTAGAGTTTACTTGGAAAATTGATAGCTATGGCTAAATATTGTAAATTCTTCAAATTGCATTTTGGGAAAGGAGAGTGAATATTTTAGCAACTAATCTGCTTTCCTGCTGGTCTCAGTGACTGACCATCTTAATCTGAATCTCATGGTGTAGTGGATTTTCAGAAGTGTTGAGAAAAAGATTTCTATTTTAAAAACTTTCAATGACAGTTTAAACCACATGAGCCTAATAACTAATGAAAGTTCCATCCTGTGATGGAAAGCAGGTAGAAATTCTTGTAATTTGAACCTAAAATATAAATATTTTAACATATTTCCAATCCCAAAATAAATATACTAAATTAGTATATTCATTTTCCCTTTAAAGAAATTAAAGTATAAATGTTAAAAATGTAATTCGTAGAGGTAAGATGTAAAACAAGTTACACTTTCCCTTGAGATGCATTCTGAAGATGAAACCCCAGTTCTTTGGGGACTCATCTTCCTTATTCAGAAAATTTCACAGTTGACAAGGAACAACTGGGAACAAGGCTCTTTAAAAATGTTTATTTAAGCATTGAGGTAATAGTATTTTCTCTGCTTGTTATTATATTGATTATATTATCCTTTTAATGATATTATTGTTGTATTCTTAGTTTTAAAATATTCAATTCATATTCTGTATTTTCATATATATTAGCTCATCTGACCTTAGTCATGCATTATAGGGAAGGTGATTAATATTTCATCAGCTTTTCTTGTTTCTTTTTAATGTGTATGTTGACTAGTTTAAATCACAGCAGTTTTGAATGAAAAATATGTATTTTAACATGCTGCTATTTATACTTGCATTATTTTATGCTTGTAATTGTCTTTAGAAATAAATTGTGCTGGCTATTTAAAGTCTTAAAAACTCTTTGTAGTGATATTGTCATTGCATTTTCTTCCTGTGAGGATTATAATTTGACACATGCATGTACTTGTCTTGTGTATTTAATCTATAAACCAGATATTCAGAAACATTAGATATAAGTTATTTTAAACTTTATTGACTGTATATCTACCTCTATATAAATCAGAGGCTCGTTTAAGAAGGACCATTATTCTATTAAAAAAATTTGATGAAAAACATGAAATGTCCTCTGAAGAAGTTGCAGAACCACCTTTTCAAAATTTTATGTCATATTTTAGGTTGTGCGTAGATTTCAAGTGCTTCCGGAATCATAGGTTGAGGATCTTTGCAATGCTAGTGTTGCAGTTTTCTATTAGTGTATGTTCATATTTTCATGTATTAAAATGTGATTGTTATTACAGTATGAGATATATCTTATCAGGTTGTTTAGTAAGCATTTGATATATATTTGTCTTTTAAAGCATACTTATCAGCTTGCTATGGGTAGTTTTCTAATTTTACATGTCAATAGGTAGAACTACAATTTTATTTCTAATTTGTTTTGAACTAGTACTGTTATCATAGTAAATTAGTAGACTTGCAGTATAAGAAACAGCTATCTGAATATATTACTACCCAAATCTTGAGTCTTGTTTTCTTTTCAGAATCATGTCAAAAAGTTAGAAGGAGAGACTTATCGGTACCACTGTGTTATTTCTGGGAGCAAGAAGACAATCCTTATGGTTACAAATAGGTATTAACTTCAAATCACCTTTTTTGAAATGCCTATTATATAGATCTTAAGAATTTTGGAAACTATAATAGAAAAGGATATGGAGAATTTTACTTCAACTGCAAATGTTAGTTGTCATAGAATCACAATTATACATATCTGGGTAGGTTCTTTGAGATCATCAGCTCCAACCTCTTACTTTGGAGATGCAGAAATTGAGACTTAAGAAGGTTCAGGGGCTTACTCAAGTTAGACAACTACAGAAAGACAGAAATTAGAATGGTCTCCCTAGGTGCAGTAGTGATACTTTTAGATGTGAATTGTAAATGCAGTTATGGAGGGAGAATTCATCAATCACTTTCTTTTTTTTTGTCAGTGCTCATTTATTTGCACATTAGTGTCACAAACAATGGTAGCAATGTATTTAATTTTACATCAAAACAATATAAAATAGAAAAAGTAGCCATGCTCAAAACACATGCACACTGGTTGATAAATAAATCTTTAAAACCTTAGAATCCAGAGGGAAGAATTAAGAAAAATGAAGTCCATGTGGGCAAAATAATTATAAATGCTTTACTGAAATAATATAAAAATCATTTCCTCACTGAATACCCTGGTCATCCTTAAAAATATGTTATGTTGCAATTCATGATCAAATTTTTAAGTATTAGATTCCTATACATTTACTTTTCTTAAAATTATTAAAGGAATTGCAGATAACTAAATAGATGGATAGAGTGCGAATCACTTTTTGCTTACTAGATTTTATTTTGGAATACTGGGATGCCCAATTTTGAAGGATGATATTATTACTGTGAATTTTTTCCAAGTATTTTTGGTACTGGTAGACAACTTATCCAATAGAATAAACTGTACTATACTATTAAGTTTATTTTCCTAAGAGTTACACTAGTCCACTTATCCTAAAATAACAACTATAGGTAAATATTTTTCAAAACATTCTGTTATATATTGATATTTTGTAGGACTAAGGCAAAGTACTTGCAAAAGCAAAGTATCACATTCCTTACTTCTTAAATATATTTTGATGGGCAGGAGAAAAAGGGAAACTAAAGTGACAGGATTCAGACTTAAAGTTACAAGTTTTTCCAAAGAAAGTTTGTCATCTAATTTGCTCATTACTTAGCAATGCAAAGCAATCTAGAAGCTGTTTTTACAGGTTTAGCAAATAATCATATATTTTAATATTGCCCCCATTAGATGAGAACAACACCAGTGTTTATTTTGTAATGTGTGTTGTAGTTAGATGACAGTGGCAATATGTTATTTCACTTTAAAATTATATGCCTTTTATGTAATTCAACAACATACACTAGAAATCAGATTTTGTTTTTTAATACTTTTACTTGATGTAATCATTTGTGGGCCTACATTACGCATCATGTGTTTTTCTTCAAGTAAATTGACAAATCACAATAATTTAAAATCTAGTTTTTAAAGAACTTTTCAGGAGGCGATTACTGATAATATTCCTGAGTAATACATTGACTTAGTCTCCTTTTACCTTTCTAGACTCTTTCTATCTTTGACTGAGGTAGGTAGATGCTCATCTGTTTGACCTTTAATGTCCACATAAAAATTGCATTTCTTCAAAAATTAGTATTTATAAAATTTTTATTGCTAATATTATGTATTTTCCCTGGATCAGGAATCAATGAAATTATTTTGAAAGTTCAGATAGTAAATATTTAAACTCTGAAGGCTGTACTCTGTTTCCCAACTGTAAACGCTTTTCTTCTAATGGGAAAATAACTGTAACAATATGTAAATGAATTGGGGTATTTACTGAAACAGGCCACAGGCTGGTTTTATTCATTTATAAGCAGTCTCAACATCCAGAGATATTAGCTGGTGTGTCAAAATTTTGCAGTTACATGTACTTTATAAAAATGATAAACCAAAAAAGCATTATGCTTACTTAACAAACCTGGGTTTTGTTTTTGTTTCCTAATAATGTATTGTGAGCATCTTCCCAAAATAGTAAATATTCCATGAGAAAATGCTTTTTTTTGATTACATAAAATTGTATTTATAGATATCCTATAATTTATTCAAATGGTACCTTACATTCCATTTTCTCCTCCCCGATAATTTTACTAGTATAAACACATCATGGTAATTGTCTTTTTCTTTAACGTGTCTCTCTATCACTACTTCCTTAAGGTAAATTTTATCAGTAGAATTGCTGATTTAAAAGTTGTATAGATCTTTGAGATGCTTTTTATTATATCCCCATGTTGTCTTCACAGAAAGGTTTTATAAGTTTTTTTTTTTTTTTAAAGATTTATTTATTTGTGCATACAGAACTGGGATACAGGCCAGAGGCTCAGGGGAGGGAGAGGCTCAGAGATAGAGTGGGGAGCAGAACAGGCAGATCGACGAAGCACACTGCTGAGGGGAGCAGCGGGCTGGTCAGGAGAGGTCTGCCGCGCCATGTGGTCTCATCCGGGGCAGGCGGGAATCGAACTCATGCGGAAGTGGCTTTAGCTTCTTAGTGCAGTGCTTTAACCCGCTGCGCCACCAGGGAGGGCCCAGGTTTTATAAGTTTTTTAACATGCAAAATACAAATGTCCTTTCTTCTGTGTTTTGCTAAGTATTATCATTTAGTCTAAACTTTTTTGTTTTTGCTAACTTAATGGGTAGAAGATAATGGATTTGTTTTAATTACCACTTATTTGATTGCTGATGAGTATGAGCATTTTATATACTTATAATCTATCTATATTTTTTTTTTCCATGAATTGCTTGTTCATATCCTTTGCTCGTTTTTCACTTAGTCTTTTTCTTACTGATTTTCTTTAAAGTCAGTAAGGCATGGATATTAGTTTTTTTAATCCAATGTATTGTTGACATTTTAATGATTTTATATTGATTTTTCCTATCAATATAGGGAAAATTTTATTTTTATTTTTTCACATTGAAATTTATCCAACATTCCCCCCAGTATTTATCCGATTTCTTAACAATATTCCCCCAATATTTATCCAATTTCTTAACGGTTTTTACAAAGTAAAAAAGTATGAATTCTTATGACATCAGTTCATTAGGCTGTACCTCTGCTCTTCAGTCTTGACAACTGAAGTAGTTATGTTAGTAGTAGTAGTCTCCACTAGGAAATTGTTCTCTGAGTATACTTTTTAAAAACACTTGTTTTAGTATGTTTGGGCTGTTATAACAAAAGTATGGTAGACTTAAACAGCATACATTTATTTCTTACAGTTCTGGATTATGTGAAGCATAAGATCAAGTTCTGGCAGATTCTATGTCCTGATTCATAGATACTTAGTCTTGCTGTGTTCCTCACACGGCAGAATGGGCAAGAGAGCTTTTTGGCCTCTTGTAAGGGCTCATTCACATTCATGAGGCTTCTGCCTTGTGACCTAATCACCTCTCCAAGTCCCTATTTCCATCTACCATCACATTTGGCATTAAACTCTGACATGAATTTTGGGTCACATAAACAGTATTGTGTACCATTAATATATGACAGATATGGGGACATAGAGATGAAATTTATATCATCTATTTCCTCCCCCTCTAAAGGAAAAAACCAACCAGTTATCAGTGACCTTGGTATGACAGGTGTTAACATAATGTATAGAGACTCTGACGATAAAGAGAAAGCTCTTGGCTAGTGAAATAGGAACCAAGGTGTCATGGGAAAGGTATTAGGGATACATTCTAATTGAAGATATACTTGAGCTGAATCTTATAGCATATGGAGCTGTCATTACAGGTGAACTAATGGCCAGCAGAGGCATAAAACTGGCACTTGGTTAGGTCAGCTTGGATGGATAGCAAGATGTTTGTGGGGAAATATGAGAAGATGAAGCAGGACCATAGGTGAATACTTAGCCATCAGAAAGGCTTAGGATTTAGTAACATGATGGAAGACCACTAATTTTTTTTTATTACAAAGTTTATTTTTACATCATTTTGCACATTTTTTTTTTCCATCTCGATTGTAATCCCTGCGGGTTTCCCATCACCAGATCACCCCTGTGCCACCACCCTAGTCCCATGCATTTCCCACCCTTCCCCCCCCCGTTGACCACTAATTTTTTTTAAGTGAGTAGTCAGTAATTATTCAGTATCACAGCTTGTCACACAGAGACATATATCCAAATAAGCTTTTCTTTTCCTCACTAAAAGCATTTTAAGTTGAGGTTTGTAGTTAAATAGATCTCTGGTAGTCATTTTGATGCTGAATTCGAACAGAATCAGAATAAAGGCACGGATAACAGTTTAAGACTGTTAGTTTTCTATTGCTGAACAAAATATTACTATAAAATTGAAATCTTAAAGCAACTCAAATTTATTACCTTACACACTGTTGCTATTGAGTTGTTGCAGTGATTCTAGGGCACTACCGACCCTTTGTGGACTGGACTAGGCACTCTGAACTTCCTACTGTGCACAGCATAGTAGGCACAAAGAAGCCTAACCATCCCTTCCGTACCATCCCTGAAAAGAAAGAGTGCCAGTTGTCTGTTTCAGTCTCCACACTCTCTTGGTCACCAAGTTTATTCAACTCTGCCTTGTAAATATCCTTTTTAAACTTTTTGTGTATAACAACGTGCTGTTTCCTTGTCTGTTCTATCATTTCCCTTTCCTACCTAAAGAAAGCCTTCCTTTAAAGAATCTTCTGTCTCTGTTGTACTAACTCAGTCTGTCATCCCTCTTGAGGGAGGACTGTGATGCACATTTTGCTGTTGCATTTATCTAGCTAGGCCAGAGAGGCCAGAGCATTTATTTGCATGATTATTTCCCCTTCTAATCTGTGAGTACATTTCAAAATAAAACTCTTTTCTTTTTTTGTCTCTAACACCGTAGTTATTTGTAGAACCAGTAGTTCTTCTATTTTCCTAGTTTTGTTTTCTATAATAGAATCTAGTATAGTGATATCAGTAATTAAGCTGAGCCACAGACTAGGAAATCACTGTGGATACCCTTTAAGTATTCTATGTTCTTTTAAAAATTAGTTGTTGAGTAAAATGGGATACATTGTGATATAGTACATTAGTGTTAAAAAGTGTTCAAACTTGATATTTATTAGTAAGCCTGACATGCATCTTTGCTGACATTTGAGGTTTGTGACATTTCCTGCACATTCTTCCTTGCCTGGAAAGCTTAAATGATTGACAGTAAAAAGCAATTAATAATTTTCCAAGTAAAAATTTTCAGAGTTTCTGCCTTTATTGCTCCTCAGATGAGAATATAGCCTATTCTTTATGCATTCCAAAGATAATTTCAGCTTTTTGGCCAGTTTTTTAAAAAAGTTGACACTTTCTTGAATTTTGCAAGATTTGCAGAATGGGAATTTTTTGAGTCTTATTTGGTAGGTGCCATATTTGCTTTTATTTGACAGTTACCTAGAATTTTTTTTTAATGTGATGCATACTCTTTCAAGTGCCTGATTATATTGTGTACTGACTGAGTGCTATCTGTACCATCCAAGAGAGTAAAATATCACTATCTGTATGTTTTTATTTCCTTTTGCAAAATAGACGAGTGTTGTGTATAAAAGAAGTTGAAATCCTAGGGCATATGTCCACAGACTGGCAGTGTCCATTTGAAGATTTTATATGTCCTCCTACTGTCAGTGAAAACCTACTAAAAATTTCGATTAAGGTAAGAAACTGTAAGTCATTCCTTCAGAGCAAAGAATTTATTAAATTAGTGAGTACCAGTTTTTGACTTTGTTTTATAGTTAGCTATCCTCACAAAATGTTTGAAGTCTCATTTTTAATATGCTAAAATGCATTGAGAGATATAATTAATTTTTTTACGATTTACTTATTTATGCATACAGAACTGAGGTGTCAGGGTGGTAAGGAGATTCACCAGAAACAGAGTGGGGAGCAGAACAGGCAAATTGACCAGGTACATTGCTGAGGGGAGCAGTGGGTGAGACAGCAGAGTCTGCTGCACCATGTGGGTCATCTCCAGGACAGGGGATCGAACTGGCACTGAGGTGGTTGCTGCCAGCTTGCAGTGCTGCGCCCTATTCCATTGCACCACCAGGGAGGGTCTGTAACCAATTTTTTTTAATGTACTATACTTCATTCTCACAGTGTTTGATTGCCTGAAGTGCAAGATCCAATCTAGCCATTGAAAGAGTTTAGGTATTGGTTCTGCCCTGAGCCTAGGGGTTAAGTCTCTGTGCTGTTATGCTGTTACTGCTACAGCTTGAGTTCCATCCCCAGTCAGGGAGCAGACCTCTCATTTTGCCTACTGCTCCCCTTAGCAATGTATTTCAGTAAATCCACCTTCTCTACTCCCCACTCTGTCTCTCGTGAATTCTCTCACCACCTCCCCCCAACCGAACACCTCTGGCCTACACCCCTGTTCTACACACACACACACACACACACACGCACACACAAATAATAAAAGAAAGAATTAGGATACTGATACTTCCTTTGTTGGTTGGCTAAAGCATTAATAAACAGGAGAAGGTTTTTTTTGTTTGTTTTTTACTTCACATGGATACCTGTTTTGCTATACCATAGATACTTAGTTGTTTCTTAGGAGATAATTATGAATGTTATGTCTTAACTATTCATGATTTATAACACTTGCAGTTATTGAATGCTAATATAGTTTAAGTATATAATAATGTTTTCATGTCTTTTCTCCCATCATGTTCTAAGGAACAACTTTTAATTACATAGTGAATAATTAGAAAAAATGATACTCCATCTCTTCTTAGTTCCTAGACTCACTTTACTTTGAAGTACATAATTTTTATTTATTATATAATTTTATCTTTATCTCTTTGAAACTAAATTGTCATTGTAAACATGGTTACTTTATAATATGTATTTTTCCTAACCAATAATGAGGTTATCTCTATTACTAAAACTACCTAAAAAAGCCATTTAAATGTATAGTTAGACATGCAAGTGTACTATTATCTTTGAATTTGTTTACTTTTCATAACATTTAAATTAAAGAAACTACCATGATACTGTACCATTTTGTATGTTAGCCTTGCTTCATTGTAGAATGTCAAAATTTAAAGAGTGCCTTAATATATGAAACACAGCTTTCAAACTGGGAAGGAGTCACTCTGCATATATATTACAGTTTTCTCAGTTATCACTTTCTTTTACATCAGTGGTGAGAATTGACTCAATGTATTTTACATTATATAAGAATTTTATCTATCAGCCAAGGAAATGAGGAAGGGTTTTTGATTTGTCAGATGTGATGAGTTATCAAGTGATGTTTCTGCAGGCTATTTATCATAGCCTGCAGAAAGCCATTATTTTACACAGATAGATGTATACTCATCCAATTTCATAAATTCTAACAACTCACATGTGGAACCACTATGCTTGTACCAAAATGATTTATTTCTTATCATACCTGAATATATGTATTTGGTTAGTCTACTAGCTGTAAAATAGAGTTGACATTTAAGCATCCAATTAAAGGTTATGAATTTTTTTCTTCCCCAGAATAATTTCTATTATTGTTTCTTTTGAAACAGGAGCAGGGTATGTTCCTCAAAAAAGACAGTGCCAATCAAGGCTATATCCGGAAAATTTACCTGCATGATGCCACCACAGCAGAGGTAATTTATTTTAAAGAATGCCTGTTCAGTTTTTTAGCTGAAAGATTTTTTTTTTAAAGCATCTATTAAAATTAATAACAAACATTTTGCTCTCCAAAGACTTTTCGGTTATAACTTTTGATGGTTGTATAAGTTTAGATAACATATTGTAGCTTTAGTAGGGCAGAACAGTTTTTCTGCATTCCACGTATGGACTGTTTTCTTGTCCTTAGCGAGTGGACCTGCTTGCAGAGCTCCACCTCTTGTTTTTGTGCCCTTTTCCCTCCACCAAAGAAACCTGTACTTGTCTTTACAATTTATAGTGAATATTTTATTTTACAGAAAGCTTATCATGCCATTGAGGATGCGCAGTCATTGAGACACCAGCAAAGACTGATGAAGCATTCATCCCTGAAACTTCTCAAGCCCCAAATACCCTTTTAAAAATCACAGGTCCAGGGGGCTGCTACTGGGAGAAAAAGCAATCACCAGTCTTGTTTATATATCACTTGTCTTTATCTTAGTAAAGAGACTTTTGCAAGCATTCCTTTAGTTTTAGGAACTTTTTTTTTTTTTTGGTAGAATACTTAGTACTGGTTTCCATTTTTTCTCTTTGACTATAATTTTGTAACTGTATGTTAGCAATCCACTTCTACACTGCCACCTTGAATGAGTCAGAGGCTCAAACACCACTTTAAACTTGGAGTGAAATTTCCATTAATTTAAAAATTGTGAAACCAAGGACAATTGGTTTGTTTTTAATTAAAGTCTTTATTGCAGAATAAACAAGGAACTTAGAATGAGAGGTTATAGGCATGGACGAGTGCTGAATATTTTGTTTAGGGGTAATTTGTTCAGTAATTGAACCAAGAAAACATTTTTGGTAAACCAGATAATAGACTGAGAAAAAAGCCACTAGAGAGAGAGATGTTTCTTCTTTTCTCTCCATTTTTTCTCCTAAAAACATTTGTTTTCTCCTAATAAAATAAGCACATTGGTACTTATTTTTCCTTCTTGCTCTATAATATAAAGACACCTCTATTTTCTGTAATATAATGTTCACAAAGCTTTGGAAATTATTTACTTGCTCTTTCAAAGTGAACTTATATGGCACAATTATAATCTGCTGATACATGAAAATATTGCACTTTAGTTTTTTCAAGACTCAGAAATATGAAAAATTCAATATTTTTATATTTCCAGAAATCATTTTTTTATGAGTTGAAAGATTTTAAGGGCATATTAAGACATAATGGGTACCTGGAAATGTATTTTAAATATGTATTAGGAAGAAGAGCAGTGTCTAGTTGTTTTATATATAGGTAAAATAAGAATACTGTGGAAAATAATTAGTAGATATGGTCTTTGAGGAAACAGATCTATGAGAATCATTTTTATGCAGTGTTATTTTTGTCCTTTATGCATCTTGCCTATGTTGATCATATATATATTACCTATTAAAGCTTGTTTAAAATGCTAAAAGTACAGTTTTCTTGGATAAATTTTTAAGTTTGCTCATGGCATTTATTTCAAATCACTGAATTGTACAATGAAGATGTGGAGATATTTGGTTTGTATGTTTTTGTGTTATTGTGTTATAATGTTTATACTACATTTATTCATGTTTTATAATATGGACCTTAAAAGTTTAAAAAATTTTCCTAATTATTCTTTAATATAGATTCTTAAATATTTCATTTCTGATGTAGGATGGTGGGTCACTGCTTTTTCACCATTTTTTTTTCTGTGAAGAAAAGTATCAAATATAAAACTTTTAGCATTAAACAGAACTTCTTTATCAGTGGTTAGTTTATTGAAAGAAACCTTTTTAAAGAATTTCATGCCAACTGTATTTTATGTCTTTAAAATTAGCTTAATCAGGAATTTGAGATAACTTATTAGATTTTCATATGGCTCACATCTATTGACAGTGTTCTAAGTATTTAAGATATTCTACTATGCCAATGGTGTGTACAAGGCATTGAACTAAGAAAAAGTAATTTATAGAAACTTATAAATTCATCAAATCAGTTAGCTTAAAATAGACTTTCAGACTTTGTAAAATTGTGATTTGATTTAATCCCCTGGGACAGAAATAATTCACTGGTAAAGTGTAACATCTTTTGTGTTTTAATAAATGCTTTGAGGGTCTATCACTTCATGTGAACTACTGAGAGAAATAAAATATTTGGTGTATTGTTTACAGGTGTGAAAACTTTGTGTGTTTATATTAAATACTATTAAAATAACATTTGCTCTTTTCCTCTTCCTAGCCTAGAGAGAAGTTAGGTTAATAGTTATGGAGGGCATTAAAGATGTGTTCAGAGGTTTTTCCTGGTGTTCTAGATGCTTCTGGAGGTCTGTGGCATATCTACAATACTGGGGAGTATAGAGAACATATTTGACCAAAGGCCCCACTGCAACACTTGAAATCTATGACTGCGTTTACTCTGAGGTCATGCCTTCCACACTTTCTATCAGTCAGTGACTTGATATTGGCAAAGACTGTAGGGCAACCCCATTCCTGGAAGATATGGAGCTCCTCTGATAGCCATCTTTGATTTAAAAATTCTTTGCAGCTTCCAGGATCTTTCTTAGACTACATAGCAGTCTGAGATACTCACTTTCACTTTCTGTCTCTATCTGACTTTGTGTCCTTCACTGAAAGATCAGACATTAGGTCTGAAGGCTTTTCCAGTACTGGATTATCCAAGAAAGACTAGGTGCACCCAAGAGCAAAAGCAAATGGGGAAAAAAAAAATTGAAAGAAGAATACACCAAAGCTTCATAAGACATGTCTAATCTTGGATGGTCTTTCTTGTGTAAGTGTATTGATCCAGTAAAGCTTGTATTTGTATTATTAGCAGTGCTTCCATATATATTTATTTATTCATTTATTTTCCTCCATGCTTATTTCTAAAGTACAAGTAGGACTGAAAATTAATGCTTTGGACTTAAAAGTAATCAAATTCTTGAAGAGTTCCATTGACATATCACCAGTAAAATACAATTTTGTAGCTACTGCCATATCAGAATCTTCTGTCTTTGAGGGACAAAACTTTTTGGTGAGAAGCACTGCCAATATGTCCAGTCATACTGATAAAAGGGGTTTTATGTCTTCTGTGTTGGTTCTGAAACAAAATTGAAACTCAGTGGAGCAAAGAGAGCACATTTTCTTGGCAATTGTGCCTGTAGTGGAAGAATGTAGGCTTACTGTTCTTGAATTAGTGCTTGAAAGCATATTCAGTTACAAGAGTAAATAATTCAAATATTCTACATTGTATCTTGGAACAAAAGCTCATTAGATAGACTCTGTTTTTTGCTTTTTATTTTTCAACATCTTTGTTTATTTTTTCATAATATAGGGTTTTCTGTCAGGTGTGGTCATCATTGTTTTCCACCACCAAATGCCCACAGTGCACTTTGTGTTTGTTTTGTTTCTCTACTCTAGAAACCCAATCCTTCACCAAAAATGAAAACAAAAATGATTTTTTCATAAGTTTGAAACAGATCTTTGACCACAAAATCTGCAGTGAAATGAAATAAGGCAATTCAGAAGGCCTTTATTCTATTTGGTATAAATGAGTTTGACTGCAGCAAAATAAATATGTTCTGTTATGGGTGTTGTTCCAGCCTTCAGTTCCAGCCTTCATTGCAGATGTGTGAGCTATGTGGTATGTCAAGTACGCTGCCTTTCTGAAATTTGAAAAGTTCTATATTCCAGCACACATCTGGTCTCAAAGGGTTCAGATAAGACATTGTAGATATGTATATCCTTAAAATTATCAATTTATCAACGTGTTTGCAGAAGTTTAGAAAAATAATGAACTGTAGGAGAAGCCATGAGTAACAACAGAAGCTTCTTTCTGCTTAAAAGCCTGTTAATAAGTGTTTCATTTTACACTTATTCTGGCAAAATATTTTGATAAAGTAGTCAAAGGAATTGACATTGACATATAGGAAACTGAAATATTGTCGAATGTCATTAATAAGATTTATGAGAATTCTGGAGGAAAAAATATGAGCAGAAAAAAGTCAGTTATACATTTTAATTAAGTAAATACCTGGTGGATGACAGATTTTAGAATTGACCTCTAAGTGAGAAAATAATGACACTAGTAATGCAATAAGCCAACATGTTCTTTTAGGTTGATAGTATCCACTTTGATAATGAACACTTTACAAAGAGGAGTTAGAATTCTTTCTGACTTGAAGAATGACTACATGACTTCCCCCCAGAATGAGTGTAATGCTTAAAATTTCCTAGTTGTGGTATCGGTTCTATGATAAATCGTTTTCAACAAAAGTAGATTTAAGATTTTGGTTTTTGGTTTAATTTTGTTTGTAGAAAACATTTTCCCCACATTAGACTTTTCTCTTTTGTCATCTTCAATAGGCCTGCCTTCTTTATTCATTTATGGTACACATTCAGGTAGCTTTTATTAAATAGATACTATACCACTGGTTGATAAATTGGCCCCTCGAGGCCAGATGATCCTGTAGTTAAGAGTTTCATGGGTCCACAGACACATCCATTCATTTGTGTTGGGTATGCAGAACAGGGTAAACGTATTTATTATCGGAAACTTTACTACAAAAGTTTATCAGCCTCTATATTATAACCATATAATCAATCTTACATTTGGGACATAAAGTATCAAATAATTTACCAAATATCTTATGGTGAGATAAAAGCTGAAATTAGTATCTAACATTAGCAAATCTTTTATCTCCATCACTCTCTTTTTCCTCCTATGAACAAAGATACTTGAGACAATTTTGAATGAACATGACTAGTGTTGATTTCTTTTAGAACCTCAGATGCTTATGCTGAAATTGTCTCCTTATTTTCTATTCATCTATGTTTTAGGCCTACCAATAACATAGACATTTCCCATGGTAGCACTTGAAAAGTAAACTGTCTTTTGGTGTAAAGAATTTCTTCTCTTACAGAATTTGTATATATGGTCTAATGTTACTGTGGTAGTTTACAAACAAACATAATTTTTCAGTGTAAAATTTAGGAAATAAAAACTTAGGACATAAAACTTGCCTCTATTTCTAATGCTCTGTCAGACAAGAATGAAATGCCTGAGATTCTACCATGATCAAATCATTAGAGTTCTTCCTAAAAACAGGAAGAAAAAATGCCCAGGATTCATACTTTAACACAACTTGCAAGCATCTCACCAAGGAAGATATGGTATTTTAAAGCACAGTACATCATGTTATAGAGTAATAATGTAATAAATGAGCAGGTGTTCAAAAATTGTAATTTGAATGGAAGCCATAACATTTTGGCTGCACTAGAGGATGCTGTTGCAAATCAGCTCAGCAATCACTTATTGATGGTTTAAATTAAGAAACCGCACTTGAACAGGACACATTTCCCTTTCCTATAGAGTGCTGTTAGATATTCTTAACCTACTTTGACACATATGATCAAACCCTTTCTACTTTATTCAATTCAGGGCAGTGCATACTTTCAAAACAGTTTTTAAAAAAGAAGGCATGAATTAGAGGATTCATAGAGTTCTTAACTTTTTCAATAAAAATGACTTGGGCTCTGCAGTCACTTGAATATGAATAACTTACAGAAGTAGTAGCCTTTATTTTCTTTAAGCCAACATAAGGGAGTCATAGACCTGAGAGAATATGCACATCAGATCTCTATGGCTTTATTGATATATCTCAGATTATTGACTACAAATTCATTGCAGGAAACAACTGTTTGTCCATGTAAAAGATGCTATGTTTAAAGTAAGGACCTAGAAAATGTTCCTTTCAGGTTGACCCCAAATAAATGGAACTTTTACATGACTATTGACTACAGTTCAGATGGCAAATGGGGACTATTGAAAATTCTGTGTTGTAAGGGCCAAGGTTGATTATCTACAATTATCCACGACTCAGAATGGTAAATAAGAATACACCGCTGGTTCTGTTTAAAATTAATGACTCAGTCAATTAATGTTGAAATTATAACACATTGGTGTTGAATTTAGGAACACTAATAAAACTTTTTAAATGTCAGATGTATTAATATTCTAAAAGAACTAATTAAGGCCTTAGATTGTGACTTATGCTTACATTTATAGAATTATAATAGTCCATAGTTGAACTATTATATTCAGCATACATCTACTTTTCTGTCATGTCTGTCCATTGAGCTTGGTCCCAAGTCTTTGCAGCCAGAGGAATAAGAATGACTCTTTTCATATATATGAATGCTTATGTATGGGTATGTTGAACAATAGATTGGATTCTGGCTTCATGGCTTACCATTCACTCAGTAAGCCTGAAGATATTTTTAAGTTCTCATCTTTTTCTACCTAAACCTTCTCTCAGTTGACATAATCATCCCATGATCCCATGGTCTGCCCCCCCCCCCCCAAATATCACCATTCCTCTACATCCCTCTTAGAATACAGTACATTGTTCTAAATGTCCAAGAGATAACTATGGCAGGCTGACACTTGAAAATTCCTATTTTCTAGCTGCTTTTCTAATAGTAATGAGTGTTCTAGTCTCTAAAATAAAATTTCCTAACTAGAATAATGATATCCCCCATTGTAATGTATTCATCTTGTAAGTTTTACTCACACAAGAATATTGCTGTTATCCCTTTTGTGACTTTTATTAAGTAAGAGTGAATTTGTATGGTACTATAAATATAAAAATGTAAAGACCCTGAAAGAAATCCCTTTAACTCTCTTAGATCGTTTCTTCGTTTGAAGAGAAGAACTTGAGAACAGATCTACCTTGTGATTCCAGTGGACCGTGTAGATTTTTATAAAATGTTGAATTTTATAATTGTTATTTTGAAAGTATGAGGTATAATATTTGAAGTTTATATTCTTTCTCACAATGTTCTCCTGTTACATATTAACATCATATTAAATATATATTGTTAATAAAGCCTTTAACAATAAAACAGAAATGTGAGATGTAGTTACTGGCATTGCATGTAAGGGTAGTTTGGATTGGGAGAATGTGAGTTAATATCCCATAAAGAAGCCCACTGTGAAGGGTAACAGCTAAGTCTGGAGCTTTGTTGTGAAAATGGAATCCTGTTTTCATTTTTTCAGAGGTATGCCCTCAACAATGGGCCTCAGTTGTCTGAGGATTCATGCAGTAGGAGACACTCATAGAACTCATAGGCCCAACCTAGGCTCCCCATAAATTAAATATAGAAACGGGG